ACATCCTGGCGAGTCTTAATTATTCTAAGATTATGCCACAATATGATTATTGTTACAACACCACGTTACTAATCCTTCCTAAGAAAAAACGCATTGCAGCATTTCGGCCAACATTTCATGAGATCGGTCAGGCACTTTAAACTCACCCCTAGACGTGCCACCACACTCCCCCCCTGGTCCACAACAGGCACTGACCAGGATTGTATATACCGATAAAAACGTGTAAGATGCTCGGATCCCAATTGGCGCAGTGCGCGCCTGCTAGATGATCTGGCATTTGTTGTGGGTTCGCATTCCCAATAACGCATGCTGGACTCCAAAGCATCTGCCGAGTGACTCGTTTTGGGGCCCGCCTGTGCGCCAAATTCATTCACACGCGTTGCGTCCATACGGTGGACGTCGTCGTATGCAACCGTCAGGCTGTCGTTGTTGCTCGGGTAACTGAGAGAGCCCTTAGTGTCCTGCTGTAATGCTGGAGCGGTATCTCGACGATGCAGGTGCGAGTCGTAGTCTTCGAGACAGTTCAAACTCGGTAGTCTCCAGTGGTTGACAGCTCACTGTAGTAGTCCCTTTGATGCAGACAGTGGTCCCCAAGGCGCTGAACCGTCTCTCCTTTGCTTGTTCAGGCCCACTGTGTACTCCTACTGCTGAGCAAAGCCCCTAGAGTGCTCTTTCGGTTGCCGTAGGTTGGGATGGCGTGCAGCAACAGCCAGATTTAAGAGGGGGGGTGGGCATGTGCGAACTGGAAATAGATAACTGCGGTGATGAAGAGCTGCAGTATGAATAAAGTCATCACATCAGCAGAACGAACTGTTTCGGCTGCCGTTGTTGCGTTCTGGTTTTTTTATATTCAACAGACAGTGAATTTAACTGTTAAAAATAGAAAACAGCCCCGAAGCTTCGCCTAAATTCTATCTGAGCACGCCTTCGTGATCATTTGGACAGTCCCCACATCCGCTGCCTCTCCCTCTCTCTGCTTGGAATTCCTAAAGGCATTGTTTGCTTTTAAAAGACAATTTTTCTTTATTTAATATCCGAAGGCATGTTGATTGCGAAGCGATGGAAAAGCCTATCCGTAATGTTGGGTGTCGTTTTGGCTCTATACTGTGTGTGAAGAAGAAGAAGAAGAAGAAGAAGAAGAAGAAGAAGCCTCTTTAAACTCATCAACTGGGCAGCGCAATGCGAGACGCGACGTGGATAGATATGACGCATTGGTTTTTAAATTATTCCCATAAGAAGTAACACGGCGGACTTTCAGTACAAGATGACCCGGACATTAACGACGAGTTTGTAGCTGCCTGTGACACAATGTGGGCTAGCAAAAGCGTTGCAATCCTTATTGCTCACCACGTAGCGTAAGCATGAATCGTACATTTTGTTCTTCAACAAATCCCCCGGTTTTTACATATACCACCTATGTGCACAGATTTATCTACAGTGCTAACTCATTAAATGTTAATAGAACTTCTGAAACGCGTCTTACCTCAGGATGCCGGCTTCTGAAGGAACTTCTTTCCGGCTGCCTGCCTGCAAAAACTACACTCTGTAGAAAGGACCGCTTGAGTGGCATAAATGTTTGTTACTCATTTTCGATGCTCTTACAAATTCAAGTAAATTTTGTGGAGAAAATGCATAAGTATTCCCATTTTTACTTACTTGGCAGAAAATTATGTTTTATCCATATTTTATACTTGAAGGAAAGGTAAAATTGGGCTTTCGAAAACTTACTAATTATGAGATTTTAAATACCGTAAAATGTCCATTCATAAAACACCGTGACTATCCATTTACTAATGCTGCCTTTAAGGTATACAACCTGGCTAAAATCCACTGCACAATGTTAACACCATAGGGTCCCCTCTAAATATCTTGGGGAAATGTATGATTTTCTGTACATGGAAAATCTACAGCATGCAGTTTGGAAACCCTGAATGCATGCGTAACAGCAGTTCGAGTTCAAAATTATTGGGAAATTAAAAACCGTTTTTAAAACCGAATTAGGCCCCCCTTCAAGCATAAAATTTTGAAGAAGACGCAACTTTCTACCGAGCAAATAAGGGAATGAATATTCTTATGAATCTTTTTCATGAAATATAGTTGAATTTATAATGGCCTCAAAAATCAATGACAAAAATTCATGCTAATTAAGTAAGCACTTTTTAAAATGAATAGTTTTGCAAGCGGCCGGAAGGAAGTTCATTTGGAAAACCGGCATCCTGACGAATTTGAGGTGTTATGGGATTATGCTGCATGGTAATTAATCTTACAACACAGCTCTAGTACTTTTTTGGTGTTGAAAACGCAATTCATGATTTCGGTTGGCATTTCATGAGTTTGCACCTCTAATAGACCATTTTGGGCATATGAGGCACATAAAAGTTTTCCTCATGCAATGCATGCTTCTAAGTGATTTTATGGGAGAAAGTGTTTAAAGATTTAAGAGTTAGTTGGCAAACAAAGGTTTTCGGTAACTCATCATCAGGCCGATACATTTGCATGGGTAATGATCGTTCTAATTGTAGACAGGATATAAATGCGTCTCAGGGGCGGGGTTAAGCAGACTCCATGTTCCCATGCCGCCCGCATGACGTAGTTAGCGTGTTGAGGACGGCGG